GCATTGCCTAATTCACAGTATTCTTTCGGCTTAGTTCGAGTAGCAAGTTTTGTTTTCTGTTTGGTTTTAGCAGTACTGGGGAATTGGGAAATATGTTTTTTTCAGTTTTAGGAATAAGCGTCCACATTCATAAAGCACAAAGTCTGTATTTTCTAAGTCTTAGGAAATCATAACGAGGGTTCCCATTCAAGAAGCTCTGATGTTGTTGCTTTGGCTGAATGCCAGGTCTCTTGCACTGCCTTAGCTTTTTTTTGTTTTGATTTTTCTTTTTTTTTTTCTCCCCTTACTGGCCTTGAGTTTGCCCTCCAGACAAATAGCAGACAATGAATTGCAGTGAATGACACTTGTGAGCAAGGAGAAACTGGGTCAGTTCCAAGCTCGTGCAGAGTGTAGGTATAATACCGATGAGGGGAAGGAGACTGCCAGCATTCCTTACCACACTGTAAAATCTTTTGATGGATGTTGGGTTCATCTAGCATAACTTACTATGACAGAACACTAGGTAATACAGAATGTTCATTAGAGTTATTCATTAAGGATTTACAGTTTTCAGCTGGAGTGCTGTCACAATTTTAATTACTTCATGAAACTGCATGCTGAGGTCTTGCAGAAAATACCAACAACTCCAATATCTATTTATTTTTTGAACTGATGCGTTCCTACCAAATGGGATTATAACTCTAGAATCTCTAATTTTCAGGAGCTGGAATTAAGTTTGAGAATAGGTATGGGTTGTGTTTGGCTCTGTACATAGCACAGGGCCCTTTTGGTTTCCTGGGCTCACTCAGGCCATGACCAACGAAAGCTACCTGACCCAAGTATCATGCTTAGGCACATTTTCAGTAGCACAGGTGGACGGCTGAGCATTTTATCTAATGTGGAGCTGAACGTGAAAATAGAGCGCTGTGTTCTTCTGTAGGCTTTTAATTTGAAGAACAGTAAACAGAACTAATTTTATTGCGGAACTTCAATAAACTTAATCTATGGAATGGATAATTGTCTGATGGTGACTTGTGAGCTTGACAAATAGTTTTCTTCTCTGAAAATAAGGTGGTGTTATCATAGTCTGTTTTTCTCCTACTGCGGCTTTGTTATAAAGTACTGTATGTGCTCACTCTGCTACATTGAATGCAGCAGTGGGTGGGGTAAGGATAAATCTAAAAACATGTAATGGAAGTAAGATTCACCAAGTGACATAAAGAAACCTGCTGGGAGATGAATGGATAGCGAAAATTTCTCCGCGATCTGGAGCTGAGGGGAAATACCGCTTAGGTATGGCTTCACTTGCCTGAGAGCAGAGCCTTTGCGTGGGATCAGTGATACCTCAGAGACAAGTTAAAAACAAGAAAACCTGTTCAAAGACTGTGTCAGAACATCCTCAAGTTTGTAGTCAGCTTATCTGTCACTGAAAACCCTTTGTTCAGCAACAGGCTTCTGGCCACCAGGAGCAGGGGCTGGGCAGGACTGCCCTGCTGTTTACAAGCTGGCAGGCTGTCAGCAATTTTGTGTGAGGTATGGTACCTGCTCCGGTGAACTTCAGCAGTGGACTCGAGAGAAACCCAAGTTATGAAACCTGCTTTTCAAGTGCAGAGGACTAGCTTATGGACAGTTTTTTTCACGTGTCTCTGAGGATTAAAATCAGAGAAGCATTGCGGTATTATTTGGAATATTAAGAATATTTCAAAGTTTCTGTTACTTCAGTAAATACGAGTCTAGAGAAATATTGGTTAAGCTGTGCTTCCTCTTCAGCGTAAATATTAGATATGGAGCTGCATGTGTGTTTGATGGTTAGGGTGTGGTGTTTCTTTTGTTGTTGTTTTGTTTCTGATGCTTGTTTGCAGGCATTTATTGAGCACTGATACAGAGTAAAATCTCCAGGAGCTAAGGAGTTAGGGGGTTAGGCTTCTGGCTGAAGACGCTAGGATCTGACCATGCTTGTATAGTTTAGCATGGGGCAGGATATATAGAAATGGTGATTTAAGAAAAAAACAATTTTCAATTTTAGTAAACTTAAATGTGTTAAAATATGAAATGATAGCGCAACATGTACATACAGGTCTTAAGTATGTAAGTTCAGTATTATAAAATATAAGAAAGACCTGTTGGACAAGTTAAAATCTGAATAAGAAGAGTTACTGGCCTAAGCACCTGTAGTTAAGAGTTTTTGTTAATGCTTAATCGGCTTTTGATAGCTGCAATTGCCTCTTGAAATCTGAACAGAATATTTTCTTACAGGTTGGTTCATCTGGTTTGGGACAATGAGTGACTTACACTGAGAAAGCAGGAAGTTTTTTTGTCTTCTGTTTTCCTTCAGTCTGTAAATAAAAATGATGCCAGAGGATCTACCAGATCCAGTCTTGAGAAATATGACCAAAATAAGCGAAGTACACGTGAGGTACACACAAAACTGCCATTGTTCGTTAAAAGCTTACGCACAAAGCCAAACCATGTACTTCAAGCTTATCTTTTCCAATACATGCATTTCAGAGTAATAGCTTATAATTGAAATAACATTAAATGCTGGGTTTGTGCATTTAATCAAATTTCAATTTCCATACAAATGAAGCTCAGCAGACAATACAAGGAAATGCCACTTTTCATTTGCTACACTAATTGTTTGTTCTTAAAAGCTAAAATAGATTCAAATCTATACTATCTATGTAAATGCTAAAACGTAACGTGCATCCATAGTCTTAGTTACCAAAAGAATATCTTAATGTATCAGAATTTACTACTGGTGAATCTCTTTTTATTAAAGAGAAATTAAATCATTGCAACTAGCAGAACCCAAACTTTCATAATCAGTGATTGCATTCACTGAGTTTGCTCTATGTATCAAAGCATGCTCCTGAATTGAGACTTATATTTTGGAGGCTTTAGTTTAGAGCTCTGGCTGCTCATCTGTATTGTTTCGTGCATTTACCCACCTCTTAAACTGTGAATTGACAAGGCATTGAGTTTTTTGTAGCACTAGTGGTTTATGTATCAGAGTTAGGAACACATGTTTTATTAGTAAGGGGAATCTTCTGTCTGTCAGGGATATGTTTCTACCTCAGAAGAGATTGGGCTTTCTAGTCTTCCTTTTTCCACTGGTTCCTGTAGTGGTCAACTTCAGTGTCTTGGAAATATAAGGCTGAAATTTAGATTTTGAAAACTTTGATGTGTTCACCTAATGCTTTACAGCAGATGTCTATTGTGCGTACCTGAGACAGGGCCTCTGGCATTTTTATTGGATGTAGCGTTTTTTCGGGCTGAATTCCTTCTGTATCTCCGTCTTGAATTGAGGGAGGATAAATAATCCTGTGAAGACAGTATCAAAGCATTCTCATTCACCCACCAGCTTATCTTCGCAGAAGTGTTTTGATGAGTAAATAGTGCTTGTAGACTAGAGAGGTGCTTTTTTGAGGTTCATGGGCAGTTGCCTTCTGTCACTTGGCAGAAATTTTTATAGCTTGCTGGTTTTTGCCCATTCACGAGAGCTATTTCCACCCCTGCTGCTTCTCTTACCCCTGTGGTGCTGTGACCTGGTACAGCTCTTTGTGGGTCAGAGATGTGACTCTGGTCAGTAATCAAGGCTTTTCTTACGGTATGGAGGTGAAGGTCCCAGCTCTGTTCACAGGGCAGCTTTTGGTAGCACAGGGCTAAAACTAGCTGTTCTGCCTGTGAGGAGATGTGTGTAATCCCAGCATATCAGAAAACGTCTTCTATTAGAGCTAATAGAAACTCTAATAATAAAAAAATAAATTAAACACACTAGTAGATGTTCTAGCTTCATTGGCAGACAACTGAGACCCCAATTCCACATTAATTGCTGCTGGATCTGTACAACTACATTTCTGCTGAATTAGTTGGAGCATGCAATCTTTCTGGTTGCAGGGGGACAAACTGTAGCTGATCTGACTTAAAATTAATGTGGACAGACAATAGCTTCATTTGATCTGAAGCTTGCTGTTTCAAAGCCAAGTCATCAAATTCATTCAGAAAACTGAACTAGCAAGGTGAACTTGTACTGAATCAACACTTTGTCTCATGTGCCTATTACAGTCTTGGTTTGATATTGGAAGCTCTAAAATGAGATTTAATATGTTGAAAAGTAGTCTCAGATACTGGATATAGATCCTCACTGCCTTTCGTTCAAATAAAACAATTATTTTGAGTAACTAATTATCCCTTATCTCTTACATAAAAAAGGGGGAGATGAATAAGAAATTCAGTTCCAGTCTGAATGCAAGTAGGAGGTGACCTAGTCCAAATGCATGTCTGAAAGACTTAAAATGAAGCAGAAAATACAGTTTGCAGGTAGTGTAAAGCCCAGGGCAGCACGCTGACCAAGTGCGCATCTGCTGCAGGAAGGATGCACTGTGACTTCCCAGCACTTGGGCTCCAGAAGGAAAACATTCTCAATTATGCGGAAAGATTACATGAGATGATTAAACCTGAAAGGGCTTCCTGGATCGTTTTATAATGGCAAAAAGGTGTTTGTTTTATGAAACATATGAAGCTGGCTGGAAATTAAAGCAGGGGGTGTGTGTGTGTATTTTATTCAACTGTCACGAAGTCCTTCCTGTGGATAATGCTTGTTGTAAATGTCTATTTTGAGTACTTAGCAGAGAATCTGGAAATTAGCGTGCTGTAAAGAAAATTAAAAAAGCTAGTTGAGCCCTGTGTTAATACGTGATGAGTGCTGGGAAACACCTGGCATTTAGCATGTAATTGGAAAAATCTTTGGAACAAAAAGCTTTCTGTAAGAGTGTAAGCAACCACCTTGAAAACTTAGTTTTTTCCTGTATGAAACCTAGATTTTTCTGTTAGTCAAAAATCTTGTCTGTTTCGTCACTGACTGACTTAGAAGAATAATATTTGGCAGCTAAAGGAGATGAAGACTTCTTGTTTGTGTGGCACTGTTTAAATTTATTTATAATCTTGCCTGTTATTTGTGGTGTTTGATTAATTAAGTTTCCAACTGTTTTGTAAGTTTTCTTTTAAATTTCAAATTACAGGTCCACGACTAGCTTTGGCGAGACTTCTTTCAGGTGAGTGACTTGTGGGCAGGTTACATTATCTAATACTGTGTCCCAACAAATTGGTATTGGGTTTTTTGGCCTTCACTTGACAGTAAGTTTTATCTTGGGTTATATATTAAGCTTGTAGAACAAGGTCTACATGGTCTGAACCTGATTTCAGTTTTTCTTCTCCTCTTTTTGTATGAAGTTAAGGAGTTTCTTGCTCCATCTGGCCAATTTGTAGCTCTTAATAAACTGTTGCTAGAGATAACAGGTGACATGTTACCAGAGAATGCATTGTTATTAATTGTTGGTATTTCTGAAAGACAAACGTTCGTTCAGGTAGGAGTGTGCTGGTGAACTGGCAGGTTGCTTGGGTTTTTGGGAAGAAACACGGTGGTGGTGTGAAAGCATGGAAGCGCGGTCAGGACAGCTGACTTCTGCTCGTAGGCTCATCTTATCTGTAGCCTTTGGCAAGCTATGTAATTTTTCTGTACTTTGTAACCACTGGCAGAAGGATGCAGTGGTTAGCGAGATTGTTGAGGGTTAACATTCTAGAAGTGCTTTGAGACGATAAAGTGAAGAGACTGTATAATGACACCTTGCTGCTTGAAGTGTTTTTATGTTCTCACACTGCTTGAACTTCGTGATGTTTTGTAAGTTTATATTATGTACAGTGCAAGAACTGCAATTGCTGCTATTTCAGTGTTTTACATGCCTCCCTTCTTCCCAGCAAATGCCAGATGAATTTAATTGCTCTAAAATGAGATTTCAGTCTACTAAATTTTGTTCTGTAGCATAGCAAAGACTGCATCTGATCCTTAAAAGAAAAAGCAGCCTTTTGTGTTAGAATTTCATATGTGAATCATAATACTGCTAATGTAACTTGTCACATTGTACGTGAACGCTGGCGGTGGTTGCATTTCCATTTTTTCGCTTCTAGGCAGTTGTTGATGCCGTTAGCTAATGTTGTATCGGTGTCTCTGCTGCAACAGCTGCTTGCTTGTAGCTGAACTTGTGCCATTACGTATTTTCAAGCAATATTGAAAATACAAAATGTTTCTGCTTTAACAGCTGGTGGAAAATACGTGGCTTTAGTGCTGCTAGGAGGTGATAGTTTAAGATACTTTCATGCTCATCCTTCCTTGCTGTGAGTTACCATCAATAGCTATGAACAGTGTGGGATATCTGACTTTAGGGACAGAAGTGGGACTGGTATTTTTGAAACTTTGCTATTCTTTTGAAGAACTGGAAATCTTACATGGGTGAAGAAACAGTTTTTATTTACTACACTCCTGGAAAGTACAAAGTCAGACCATGTGTTCAGTGATTACTTGCATTTCAGGAAAGATGGATGGTTACATTGTGTTGTACTGGTGTTCGCTACTGCTCATACTTCATGAATCCTGTTCTGCTGGTGGCGTGACTTGCCTTTTCTGCGGTGAAGAGACAGGCTTGAAATGTTTTCATTTTAATGCTGTTTTGACTTAAAAATAGGCTACTGAAATTAAATGCTTGACAGGATTGTGGAGACTGGCACCTATCCTGTGCATCCTCGCCTCTCCCAAATTTCTCTGTTCCTTGGCCGAGTATCTCACAGGTTTATTATAGGCTTCCATCTATCTTTGTGTCTGTATCTTACCTCTGAAGGCTCCTCCCCTGGCTAGCTGATGTGCTCTGCTGTGGGAGTCTTGAGCCCGGCGGGCAGGGCTGTGCACGGCTCATGGGGCCGAGGGCACAGTGTTGGCAGGCGGCCCTTGCGCGCTCCTGGCTGTGCTGCTGAGCTGCCCGCCCACTGCCGTGTCTTGTCCGGATGACAGCCCACCGGTATGCGTATGGTGGGGCCTGAGTGGAAATCTGTACTCCATCAATGGCAAGGGGTGTCCGAAAGGGCTGATCTTAAGCATCAGTCCTCAAGGAGGCCATCGGCTACGTCCAAACCTACCCTGAGCACAAGTGAGAGAGGCGGTTAGATTTTCTCAGATGATTGCATCTTGTTTCTCTTTGTGCTAAACCACAATAGACAACATGTAGAAGCAAAACAATTCAGATGAAATTCTTCCAGAAACTGCACAATGATTTAGGTAGTTCAATAACACGTGGGGATACGGGCCCTGGGTTAGGATGGCTCAGGAGGTGTTATTGGCAGTGTTTGCAGAATATGGAGATTTTCATTTTGCAGTATTTCTTTTAGTGTCACTTTTTTCCCCTCTGCAATAGAATTGCGTAGCAGTTCGTGTTCCTTGGTCTGAAATAATTAGTGCATCTGACATAGCATGGTTTCCATTGGGAACAATTGTTCAGCTGGTTTGAGTGGTGTTTTAATAGAAATGTTTTGTACTCTTCCATGTATCCACATTCTTCAGAGAGGAGTGTCTGTAATACAGGAAGTAATGACATTATGGCATGTAACTGGCATTTTTTTAATGCCCATAATATTGGGATGGAGTCATCCTTTTATCTGAACCAGTCATACATAATTGTACATAAAATAGTAATAGCTGTATGAAATTGTAGAGAGACAAAAGTATTCTTTACTGTTTATCCCATGTGTACATTGGCTTGTAGTGCTTTCCTGGTGGATGCTGCCTGCGAAACTAGAGGGCTGCAGAATAGCTTTCTTCACAGGGGGTGTGTGTGTGTGACTTCCATTAAAATCAAGCAGTAAAAAAATTAAGAGTTTATTTAAAGTATCGAATTTTGAATTGAATTTTGCCATAACTGCAGGTGGATGCAATGGAAACCTGGAGCTGGGGTGGGCATAGTCTTTCACGTGTTAAAATATCTACTACAGGCTCCAGTGTAAATTCTGTACTTGAAACTGCGATAGTAGCACGCAGTGGAAGGTTTCTTAGAAAGTTCTGACATTGCGCAAAAGTGGTGAAAGAAGCTGCAATGATTTACTGAAGAGTTGACGCTTTCCTGTGAACTTGAAATTTGAATAGTTTTAACTTCAGCTTGAGGTTTTGTGTTTGTTTTGTTCCCCCCCCAACTTAAAGATAGATTTTAAATTTTCTCCCTTGCTACATTGGGCAAGTGAAGCTTAACCTTTTATTCCCCTAATCAGGGGGAATAAAAGGTTTTATTCCCCCTTTCCCTCTTTGGGCTAAATAAATTACTTCAGTTTTTGTTCTGGGTGGGGGGAAATCATTATGACCTGAGCTGGTAGATTGATTCCCCCTCTCCCCCCCCATTTTCACTGTACTCATTCACTGTTAGCTGTTTGGACTGAGTAAAACTCTAAATGGGTGAAAGCACTCTTGTCTTGCTGTAAGGTCTGTTGTTGCCGTTCAGTAGGCTGGCAGGTCTGTGTGAGTTCTTAGCCATTTTGTGACCTGAATGTTTGCTCTGAGTAGGTGGTTGCTAAGAGGATGTGCCCACTTTTATTCTTCTGGAAGAGCAGGTCTGTGATTTGAAGAGGAACCAGTACTAGAACTGGATTTTAGTCTAACATCAAATTAGAAGCCTGTTATCAATATCCTATACCAATTACTAGGTGTAGGGGCACAGCTTTTATTGAGGGTGCATGATGACTGGTTTTATTATGCCTGGTCATGTTGTCCGAAAACTTAAATGTGACCTCTGTCTTGATTTACTTAGACGTGTTTCAAGAAGGTAACAACTGCAATTACAGCTCTTTTCTTGGGTTGTAAACTGTGGATGGGAGAATACATACCTGTATTTTAAATTTTCTTTTAGAGATTTCTCCCTGCAAAACAGTTACCTGTTTGATTCTTTCAAAATCAGGGATGAGTGTGTTTTACTTTAAAACACTTGGTTTTGGTTTTGTTTTTTTTAAAGGTGCTTGTTCTCTAGACGTAGCTTATCTGGGATTATTGTAGCTCCCTGAGAGGAAAACGTGCTAAATTGTTCAAAAACACTGGTTTGAAAATTGACAGCCACCACCCAGAAGAAAGATGGACGGTGATGGTCTGGTGTGAAAGTGAACCTATGGATGCTAACAGCGACTTGCAGGCCTGCCATCTGTAAACAAGCTTAGAATTGTTCACTTGTGTAGACAGATTTTTTTTTTTTCCCCTGCAAAATGTTTTGAGGGACACAAAATGAAGCTGAATTATTAGGTTCTGGCATTTGATAGATGGAATTGATATAAAAAAGCTTTGAAAAAAATTTGTACTTTTTATAATGCTAATTAGGTCTGACAGTATAATGATGGCAAGTAGGCAGTACTCTTGCAGAAGCAGGAACTACATGTTTGCAGATATTGACAGTTTCTTGTAAAGGATGTGTTCGTATGGAGAAATTCTACAAAAGCGCTTAAGCTAGAAAGTGAAAACATGTTCATGGATATAGAAATTGTTTTACAAATAGTTCTATGAAATGGTTCTAAATCAGGCTGGACGTTTGTGCAAGTCTAGCAGGTCCTGGCATCCGTAGTGATTGGAGTGGAAATAGGATTCTCAATTTATTGTGTAATCTAGCACTTAACTGCCATAGCATATTTTTGTTGAACTTTGGTTCTGAGAAAAGTGAACAAGTAGTCCTCAGTGCCCCACGAGAAGTAAATGGGTAACGTATGGTGATAGCTGCTCACATAGTATCTTTATCAGGAAGTTTTTTACTATGGATGTCTGAGAGAATTATTTCCCAAGCACTGGAAGCTGGCCCTCCTGTGTATTAAAACCACAAATGTGCAGCTTAAAACACAGAAGTGATCTGAAATGAAGCAGTTTTTAACAGGCTGAGTTTTCCAGAGGTTTTGTCCATTACACTTCAGTGATAAGTTACATGACGGGTGATTAATGTGTATAGACTTGCAAGAATAAATAACACTTCAAACAAAGCACAACTTTCTTCTTCTTTCCTAGAGCTCCGCTGTACCCCAGGGCAGTTTGCGTGTCGGAGTGGTACCATCCAGTGCATCCCTTCAAATTGGCAGTGTGATGGATGGCCCACCTGCGAGGATGAGAGTGATGAAGTTGACTGTCCAGGTAAGTAAAGCTGAGAAGACTGCTCATCCCAGCGTCAGCTTGTTTTGCAGCAGTACTTTGACTCTTTAAGATTGCTTGCTTATTTTTATTTGAAAGTGGAGATTGTTTGGTAGAACTGTACCCATTATTAACAAACTTTGAGTTGGCGTCTCTTAATTTTATGCAACTAACGCTATAAACAGTTTTTTGCTTGTCTGAATTATCCTTTGATTCTTACAGTCTGAGTAGGTATCCTGGAGATGAGGAGAGTTTGTAATCTAAAAAGAGACTTTCATGACAAGGAAAAAATCATGTTGTGGTTAAACCGAAATGATACATAGGCCTGTGGTTAAATTCAGAATTACTGTTTTGGTTGTATGAGTATATCACTCAAACTATGCTGGGTGGCATTGTTGGACTTAGGTAGAGAGCTTGTTTTATTGCTCCCTGTTCTGATTATGCTTCTTGTGCTTAAGCGGAGAACTTTGTTCTGCCAAACAAGCTGGTGTATTTACTCTTCATAAACTCTTGTGATCATATGCTTTCAGGAGCCTATCACCAGCAGTGGTTCTCTGCTAAAGCTACTGGATACTGAGCTGGCTTTAAAAAACAAGCAAACAAAAATTTTTGATTTTGAATATATGATTGCAATTTTGAACGTTTTCATTTGTTCTTGACAAACAGGCCAGTGCAACTTCCCCCAAAGTGAAGGGACCTGTAACTTTTTTTTCTTTTTTTTCCTAAGAACAATGAAGCAGGAACTTGAAGGCATGAATTCAACTGTGGCATAATTCAAAACTTTTATCTCTACAGTGTGAATAAATTACATTCAAAAACTGTTTTAAGAAGTTCTTTGCCACTGAACTACTTAATTTGCTTGGGAGAGAATCACATGAATTTTGCGGCATTGTCATCACAGCATTCAGTCTGTCATCATTCTGGGTTTTGAGCTATTTTAGAAAGGTGCTACAAAATAGTAACATTGGTATTTTACAGCAACAAGCTCTTCTAAATATTCATATTTTCTAGTGGAATTAGAGAAATCTAACGCTCAAACTTTGAAACTGTGCTATAGTTAGCCATCTCCCCAGTGCGTGCTACATACAAAAAATTAAAAGAATGTGTTCATTGCTCTTTTTAGAAAGCTTTTGGCTAGTCTGTGTGAGTGTATGTATTTGCAGCACAGGGGAAAAAACTGTTGGTATTCTTCTGACATTGAAATTTAAGCTGTGCCATTGATATTCTAAGGATATTCTTTATGATGTGGATGTCCTAAAGAAAGATGCTTTTATAGTTGTGCTGTTATTATTCCTCCTTTTTAGCTAACTTTGGCCAAATGTGAAAAACTAGAGAACTAATAAAATTCTGGACATTAATGGAAGTCAATAGCTAGGGGAAAGCAGAGTCACGTTAATGTTTGGATTTACTTAAAAAGCACTGAAGGCTTCACTTGTGGGAATATTAGAACATCCACATTAGTAGAAAACCGTATTTTTATCTTCTCTTGTTGCCTGGCATGTTAGTCAGCAAATTAAGCATGGAGGATGATGTTGACTCAAGGACTGGAGTTACAAAGAATATTTGGTATACGGCTAGGAAGAGGATTTTATGAAAGTAACATTTCTCAGTAGATAGACTCTGCTTTTGTGCTTGGGGTGTAGGTCTCACTGGACTGTCTGGCCTGACATGATGAGAACAACTTTAGGTTAAGAAATGAAAGGAGATGTGTGGGAGAGACTTGATTCATCGCCATGTCTGTACACAGGAAGAGGAGAATAACATACATAAAGATTACTAGAGGGGTAAATGATGGACAGCATAGAGAAGGAAAGTATTCCACTTGATGAGAAGAGTAATTGGATAAGTAATTGGTGAAAAGGCTGTGCTCAGTAAAACAGCCAGAAAGCTGGGTGTGGCATTTATGAAAGAACTGAGATATTTGCACAGTAATGCAAGGAGTGTAGCCAGCGAACCAGAGGAACAAGAAGTACTGGTGTAGGATGTAAAAACTCTATTATACCTGTAACAAAAAATTGGTGGGATAGCGTTGTGACCTGAAATGGGTGTTGAAGGGCATGCGTAATTCAGAACTGTCAAGAATAAGGACAGGTTGGTGTGCTGGAGTGCATGTGAATGGCGTGCTGGAGTATAAAAAGGAATAGCATGAATGAATGTAAATCTGAGGCCAGAATAAGTTTTGAAGAGCACGGTTTTCTTATGTTGGTGAAAGCGATACAGATGTGACCAGTCATAGGAGAGACTAAGTCCTGGGACGTTGACCGGGGAGCTAATGCTACTAATAATAGTAGCACATAGTCATACTCAGGAGTGATAACTTTATTCTTTGGCCACTGAATTAACAAGAAATGATGCAGCTTTAAACTTAGAAAATACCTTTGGATTTAGATGAGCAATCATGAGATGATGCAGCTAAATTTAAATACTTTTTAATTAAGGTTCTTAATTTCAATAAAAGCAGACTGAACACTAAAAGAACTAGTTAGTGAAGCCACCTGGACTTGTGAAACTTGGAGAATTAAAATATCTTTAAATTAAAAGGTATGAAATCTCTCTGAAGCATGAAAAGAAAGCTTGCAAGAAAGGACTCTGAATCTGGTTGAGAAGCTTGTTACTTTTCAGCCTTTGAGCTACTAATGGCACACTCTAACGTGAATAACTTGGAAAAGATCAATGGCAGTGAATTAGGGTTTTGTGGTGGTGATGAAGGTGTGTTTCGATGACTACTTAGTCATGTTGGTATTTTCAAAGGTTTAATACAAAGCCATTTAAGTTATTTGGCACTGTTGGTTTAGTTCACCTTTTTTAGGCCTGATTTCATTCATGTTAGTAACAAAGCTCCTATTAAGATAAGAGGATCATTAATTAATAAATTAGTTTGGTAATCACGTGTTGTCTGAAGTACAAGAAACACCCCAAACCCTAAGACATTTTTGTTAGAATAATTTCTTCTGGCATTTTTTTCGGAACACAATTAGGTAAGACATTAATTCATTGACAATCTGAATAAGTGTGTGAAATGCTTATTTTTGCTAGACCATATATTTCTCTGAAGATAGTCATCATAGCTGTTTTTATTCTTACTGTTTCTTTTCAGAATGACCATTTTCCTTTAAAACATGGAATTCCTTTCAGTCCCAAACTTGTGATGTGTAAAGTGCTCTTCCCCCTGCCCTTCCCACTAGGCACACAAATGTTAGTGGAACTTGCAGCAGTGATTACCCTCAACTCATCTCTCTGGTAGACTAAAACCAATGGCTGCTTGCTCTTGTGAGCGTACTAAAAATTACTGGGAGGGTTTATGTAGCATATGCCGGCAACTCTCTTCTACTTAAGCAGTGAAGACTCATGAAATTTATGTACTGTTCCGTATCAACAGTAACTGATCCTAAAAATAGTTTATCACAAAGTGGTGTATTCTGTGGAATGGTAGAAACAGGTATTAATACATTAAATAGGGACTTTTACAAATGGGAATTTATTATTTCTACTCACTTCCTCTTATGTTTCTATACAAGGAGTCAAAGTAGTAACATAACTTTTCCACCTTTATAAAAGGTTTGTATTTACACCCCTAAGAAGGAGGGGCTCTGCAGTTTGCCTTTTACTGCTCATTGGATTTCCAGCTTTGCTTCCACCAGAATATCAGATCAGCTTCTCCAAATATGCTACATTCTTTGCAGGCCTTCTGGTCAAAACTTATTTTCAGCAGTACAAGTGGAGCAGGGTTTAGTATAGCGCTGGCTGTTTACATGTGGTTTTTTTCTTATGCTACAGGCTTGATGTTTGTTTCTGTTACGTATGAACAGAGAACGGATGTCTTGAATTCCAGTGCCTTTCATAAATCCTATGCATACCAGTTTTTCAGCTTGCAATTATATTGGTGATCATTCTGTTTCCTTCCTTCATTTATTTATTTTTTTTAAAAAGGGCATTCTTCCCAGGAATAAGTGATCAGATTGTGCCATCAGCTGTCCTTGGGCTTATCCCAGCATCTGAATTTGAAAACCTTCAGCTCACCCCGTAGTGCGCACACCCTTGCCTAATGCCACATTCTTCCTTTATAAGGTATATCTCAGTACTGTTTTCTAGACCTGCTTGTTCAGAAACAAGAACACTGGAAAGTTTCAGCAAGGTGAATGCTTAGGGTCCGTTGTCGCCACACCCCCCCCAGCCCTGAGGCCACAATCAGCACTGGGCAGCTGGCCATCCTGGTGGTAGTGGTCCTGGGGCAGCAGTTGCAAGCAGTGGCTAGCGGTAGTATGAGCTGCCCTGCAGTTCCGTGGCAAACAGTATGATTTTACATGTTTTTATGTCGAGATTGGGAGCCTAATTTCATACAGAAACGATCTTGCTAGGAAGCTAACTGTAAACGCTGATCTTGAGCAATGTGATCTTGTATGCTGTTCTTAAGGACTTCCCCAGATACTGTATCAGGAAGAAGTGTGCAGATTTGGAGATCACTTGCCCCAGCACATACACACTATATCATCTTTGAGTCTGCAAAGTCTCCTTTGTGGAGCCAGCTGAAGGTATGGCCAGTAGCTGATAAAGCAGCAGCTGCAGCACACTGTTTTGCAGTGATCATAAACAGCTTTGTGTTTTGTTTTGCCAAGGATATTGTGTTTGGTTGAAGTGACTGTTGACATCTGTGCACTTTTTAGTACATCTCTTTTTTTAAACCTAGGTAATAATGATAAAAATCTCCCATCATTTCCACGCCTTTTCTGAGCCCTTGCTGAACTCCTATATAATGCATCCTTTTTAACCTACCTGGTGCTGTTTAAATTATAAGCTCTTTACTGTCAGTCTATTACTTTGAATAGTGCTCAGCACAGCAGGATGCTGTTCTTGGTTGGCATCTATTTCCTAGCATAATACAATTGATAACGCAAAGCATGGAGCTGCTTGATCTCAGAAGAATCACTCTTCTCTGGGGACTTCTGAACTGTATTTCCAAATCTTTAGGCACAAAACTGGATTTAATCCTGAAGTTCTCTCACCTCTCAAATTACCAGGTGGAATTAAAAGCTTTCCAAGCTTTTAGTAGGTAATATACTGGACAGAAAATTTGAAGCTTCGGGGACAAGGCAGATTTTTATGTAAACTTTGAGAATCTGTGTGTTTAAACAGGATCAACTCAAATCTTGGAACAAATAAGATATGACAAGACCTGGTTGCTTCACAAACAGTTTAATTTTGACATGATTTGACATAGTACATTCATCCTCGTGAAGGGTTTGGCTTGAGTGACTTGTCATCTGTGACACATTAACTCTGGAAAGTAGTTCAGCTCCCCAAAATCCAATATTCACCCCTTTGAGTCCTGACCCTACAAGGACCTCTCTATATTACAGTCAGTGTCTTCTGTCTGCTTGGCCTTTTTTTGGTGCAAAGCAGGCCTTGGCGTGTGTGGAAGATTGCAGTTTCTCTTCTAGCTCCTCTGAACACAGTTTTCCATTTGGCATCATGTTTGTTCCCCCATGCAGTGCTGCTCGGCATGTGTATGTTCTAGCCTGTTCCTGTCTCAGCTGGTGCCAGCTCTCACTTTTGTGTGGTCTCAGCTCCTCGGCTTACGTTCCATTTGCACTACTTGGCTTTTTGCTTCCTTTTACTTGGTCCAAATGATGGATGCACTGAGTGGGATGAAAAAGGAGCTTTCTGCTCTGCTTGTGTGCTTGGCTTCCCCTAGTGAGACACCGCGTGCAAAGAAAGCATTGCTTAGATCCTGTGGATAAATGCTGCAGAGTAATCTCCGTGGATGTACGCAGGAGAGTATGGACAACATAACTGAATTCCTTCCAGCCTCTATGAATAATGGGCAAGCTCATATTTCTTTCAGACTTTAACTTGACTGCATTTGTCCCCTCCGTTTTTTCTGTGTGCCCAACAGGAACAGCAAAACTTGTATGCATGGCACAAAGCTTTTTCTGTGAGTTAGCAGGGCTGTGTTATGCAGGCTGCAGTGACAGTGCTTGTTCAACTAAAAGGTAGTTAGAAATGTAAGCAAAATTTCTTCCCCTTCCAATCTCTTAATTTTTGTTCTGAACAATTGTTGAACTGTTTTGATTCAGGTCTGCAAAAGTTTACCAATATAAAATGTAGTAGGAGCCATCCAGCATGGCAAACTTCCATTCTGAATTGGTAGCTTGAAGTTTTAAACAACTGAAAATAGTCACAGAATCAGCAGCGTTGGGCAACTTTCTTGATGTATAGCACTATACTTAGACTGTGATTGTGCTAGGGTGAATTAGATAGCAACTGTAAATTGGAAGGAGCTGGGTGAATACTAATCATGACTTGATCCATTTGGAAACAGATTGGAGGATGCTCGTGTCCACCACTCTATAGAATTCGAGGGGAGAAAAAAAATTGCGCCCCATGAATTTTTCCTTGAACTCATTTTTCCCTTTTCCCCATCAACTAACAAACAAATTACATTTCTCGTATAATTGTACAAAGTCAAAGGAAACAGAACTATCTGTCTTGGCCAGTAAAAATACTACTGTTGCTGTTATTGCTTGTGGTTGTAATATTTAGAAGAATAAAGGTTTTGGAAAATAGCTGATCTTCCAAAATTTTACGGCTTTCAGAATGTTAAGTATGCACATAAGCAATAAAAATGATAGCTTTTCCTTTCTGAAACACTCAAACATGGTTAGGTTGTGATCTTTTGGCTTAGGTTGTTATCTTAAAGCTTAGTCCATGGTACTATTAATTTATTTTTAAAGATAAAAATATTTTTATAAAGGAAGCAGGAACAGCAAAATACATAGAAAATTCTTCTGCAGAGTATTGAAAAAGTACAATAGAAAACCAGTCCAATTACACCTTTGCCACCAGAATCTGCAACGGCTTTTCATGGCAGTCAAGTGACTTAGAGGCTTGTTAGCATCCCTTTCTTTATTGCCCTGGAAAAACTTGTCGTCGTTGCTTTTCTCAGAGACCAAAAATTCAGGTCAAATAGAAGCAACTTAATATTTGAAGAGCACCAGTTTATTAAGCAGCTGTCAGTGTTGGGCTTGAAGGAGAAGTGACTTGTGGTGGCTGCTTTCTGCCTCTTCAGTCCTGCCTGGTTTCAGCAGGGAGTCTGCTGACACGGGCAGATGCTGAGGAAGGAATTGAGTGTCCTGCTTCCTGGGTGAGGACTGATGGAACTCACTTTTTGTGGGATCTGTGTAGCTATTTTTCAAAGCAACTGGCAGAAATTCTGTCAATTTAAGATGTTAGCCCAAGTAACCCTTTCTTAACCTCGCATGTTAAAACCTGTGAACTTCTGTTTTATTCCTGGGGGAGGGAAATTGTTAAGTCCTTGTGGGCGTTCTGTTTAGCCGTCGAGGGTCAGCCATATGGTGTTGCATCTGCTCTCACTTCTGAAAGGGAACGAATTTTTTGTGCGTTTGGTTCTTACTGGTTCTTTGGGTTTCGTTGTTACCATTTAATGCCATGGGAAAATAGAGCTTCCCATGCTGGGCTCAGTTCATCTTTGATAAAGCATTCTATATTAGTTAGCGTTATTTTTAAAGTCTTACTATAATTAAAGATTTGCTTTTTTAGTGTCTCAGTATTGCTCTGGAAATCATAGTGTAAATACTGCTACTGAACTGTTAGGATTAAGAATAATCAAATTCTAAAACTAAAAATAGGTTGGCCTTTAAAGTAATGAAAAATAATCAGTGATCTTCACTGTCAAATTATTTTACCATTTAGTGTCCTTTGAAATGTACACTGACTGAATTTCTTGGCACCAACTTCTTGCCTGTGATAAATAGCTTATTCTAATATTGAACAGTAGGATTACTACTTTATTCCTGTAAGGCCACGTGAGTGTATTATGCACAGCCATTTCTTAATGGGTGATCTCTATAGACATGTAATTCCTAGGATAATGTGATAATTAAATATCCCTTGCTTATCCCATTAACCCAGGGCAAACTCGGTATGCTAGAGCCAGATGAATGCAAAGCTACTCTGCTGTTTATGGGCTCCAGCTAGTGATTTTTTTTGCTCATCAGTGCTAACATTTGTTTCAAGGAGTGCGTTGTTTGATGGTGGGTCTTCTGGAGGTCTTTCCCCCCAGGTAATACAGCGAACAGTCTCCAACTCTGGGTTTAAATTATCATGAAATTGCTGTGGACGTCTTGCTTTTTAAAGATAGTCTGAAAGAGAAAGTTTTAATGATGTAGTTTTGAATGTATTTTCAAAAGATGTAGTTAAACCTGTTGAAGAAGACTATGTAGCTCCTCTTTATTTGGGACCATGACTGGTTTATTTGGTTTAGCTAGGCTCAATAGAGCTAATCAGCTTTAAAGGAAAATAAGCTGATTTTTTAATGAAGAAATGAATGTCTGCATAGCTCTTTGTGCTGGTTAAACTCTATTACCTTTAATAACATCTAGTAGTGTTAAATAACATACTAGTAGATATTTCTAATGCTTACATTCTTGGGTTCTTAATTTTTCTCTTTTTAAGGTTAATCCCTTGTTTCCAGATTAATCTTTCTCGGTGCTCATCTCTGCCTTTCTCAAAGGTTTCTCCCCACCACTGTGCCAGCCTTTCTGCTTAGGATCTTGTTAGTTTTGCTGGCTACGGCCCATCCTGTAGCGTCTCCACCTGAACTGTGCGCTCCTTATTTACTCCTGGTAGGCATATGGAGCCTCCCAGCCCCTTTTCTGGAATAACGTCTTGCACTGTGTCCTTCCTAAATTATTGAATCCAGTTGTGAGGTATGCCCGTTAGAAGCCCTGACACTGAGATGAGGGTGTGTATGTTTTTTGTTTCAGAAATAATGAACTAACATTTCCTTTAGAAGCTTGAGAGTGAATGAAAAACCTTGTTCTTCTGGCTGAAGATAGGTTTCCTTTCCTGGTTTTAATTTTGTCCTAGATCTCAGAGAATGTGTTGGAAAACGTATTGGAGAAGTTGTCTTATACCCTTGAACACACAACTGAGAAACAAAGCAGCTGGAGAGTGGGTAGTTCTGTAAACAGGAACAGATAAAACGGACTGGGGATGATGCATTTGCTGCAGCGATTGAAATGATGAGCGTCAAGTCCTGTGTACAACTGCAGGCTGTTGAGAATCTGCCAAAATATTTAGCTTACTCTGCAAGACTCGTGTAATGGCTTGTTGGTTCTTTTCAATTGTAGGTATTTCAGTTATGTACCATGTAAAATGGCCAAGGTGTTATTGCAGGGATCTACCATCTTTGTTTACCTATGTTATTTATCATATATGTCTTGAATTAAAACCCAGAGAAAGTTTAATAAAATGAAATCTGCCTTTGCTTGCATCTTTCACCGGTACTGACTATTTCTTCTGGTCCCCAGGCTTGACAGGGGACCAGCGAACTTACCATGGGAAGGAGAATGTGGACTCCAGGCACAATCGAGGGAGAGGAGGAGAGGCAACCCGCTTTCACACCGTCAATGTGGCACAGCCTGTCCGATTTAGCAGTAAGTTGCAGACTGGGAAATCTGGGCCATCTTTCTGCTAATTAATTTAGCAATTTAGGCTATTTTTTTAAGGAGAAATTAATAGATTTTTCTCTTGCATAGCTTTTTGACCAGATTTTATTCATGTGCAGTGCTTTTTAAGGTTTTTGTACGTTCCTTTTCTATGTGTCCCATTATATTGCATAGTTTATATAGCAGGCCAATACATGCAAAGAATTCTACTTCCCTAGTAATCCTGGTTTTGTGAAACCAGAGGTGCAATTTCCTGTTATAACTCATTGCGGTTACAGAAAACTAAGCCCATGGTTTAAGTGATGGTTTCATCCTGCAGCAGGGGTGATAGTCTAGCCCTTGTCTCTTGATGTGAGCTTGCATGTAGGATTGTTCCCCTGGAAAGGGGGGGGATGGGGGGACGGACCAAAATTGATTGCTCTTGATTGAAGTAATTTGGAAGATGATCTTAAAGACGTTGCACTATTATTAGTTAATTAAGTGCATCTCTGATGTTGTGAGTTTTGTATCCTTTTTAATAGGAAAAATATTCTTTAGGGATAAAAATATTCTTTAGGGAGTGGGGAACTTAAGGAAATTCTTCACTTGCTTGTCTGAAGACAGTCTGTCAAGGATGTAGCACTTGAATGGGTTTCGCCATGTTACTCCCACCAATCAATCAGGAATCTTCAAAAATATCACTTCAATGTGATCCTGCCCTCTCACCTGCAGCACTGCTAGTGCCACTGTCGGCATCCTAGTCCCTGCCTTATCG